CTCTCACGTGCTTTTATTTATTTATGTTTGGCGTCTCTTCAGAACTCTATCCATCAATTTCTTCAACACTTCCTACATATACATCGATCAGGTCAATAATAGCCCCAAACAAACCCTCCTAAAATAATAATAAGAAAAAAGTAGCCTTTTTTTTTTTTTTTTACGTTTTTGCATGTTTTTGTTATTACAAAAAATTTATGATTTCATAATAGATATGTGTATTGATCACTAATATTTATCACAAAATTCAATTGGTTACTTTTTAGTTAAAATTTGATCACATTTGTTTCCATCTACCAAAATCTCCACAAATCATGATTTTAAAGCATGAGTAATTTTAGTTCTTCATTACTATTTAACGTAGAACTTCTCATTTACCAACGGTTATACAACAAAGTTTATGAAGAGTACTTTCTTTCTTATATAACACCAAACACAGCGTTCAATTTCAAACCGAAATAGTTTCATTCTGAACAAAAATATTTTTTCTTTCTTTCTTTCACGCAACTATATTATAACGTAAAAGTTATAGAGGGAAAAAACCAGACATAATACTGTTAAATCTTAAAGGTGGGAGTCCAGTTCACTCTTAAAACTATTACATTATCCTCTTGTATCAAATTCCTGTTTCTTTATCTTTTTGACAAATATAGTAAAATGGAGGAAGAACACTATTGATTCAGCAGTGAATAGATCGAATGGTCCCTATACATGAGAGAGAGAGAGAGAAGCCCCCATTATTTGTGAGGTGTGTGCATGGCATGTGGTTGTCCAGAGAATAATCCAGTGATGGATGGAAGCAGCACATGCACATGGAGAAACTAGGCACTGAAACCATGGCATCACTCTTATTCATATCACCATTGTTTGTTTCTCTTTGACCCTATTTCCACTGTTCCTATGCCACTATCATACTCTAATCATTGTTTAAATTCCATTGTCAACTCGTTGGGTTCTGTGCAAATGGTGGGTCCAACCTCCCCATCCCTCGTTAATTCCATTGTCTGTGCATCGTCTTTATCCTTGTAAAATCACTCAAAGAGCTACCTTAGAACTTGCTCAACCTTTTCTTTTATACACTAGTACTTTAAAATTTCTATAAAGTAAGAAAAATAAATAAATAAATATATACATACATATATATATATATATATATATATATCTATTTACACAATTTTACTAAAACAGTCTCATATTGCCAGTGAAAATAAAACAACTATAGCATCAAATAATTAATATATTCATAACTTAGTGCAAAAGAGAATAATTAATAATATATTGTACAATGAGAACATCAAAGGTAAAAACTACAATTATTTGTAATGGTAGTATTTAAGTAAAATAGTGGATTTTTATATTTTTAACTAATTATATTAATTAACACGATTATTAGAGAAATATAGAGGGTTTCACGTCATTTAAAAATATGATAATATTATAATATATATATTAGTAATTTCATCTTAATAGGATTGAGTTAGGTATTTCACCATCTTAAAAATAGTATTATCGCTAATTCTAGAGATGTTGGAACATTAACCATTAATAAGATTGAATTAAGTAATATTTTTAAGATGGTATCAGAGTTAACTCTAAAGATATTAAGATGATATCTGAGTTAACTCTATATATATTAAGACATTAACGATTAACAATGATTGACTACACTACCCGTTATTATAGCAATATTAAATTACTCATTCTCGATATGAGATAATATTATATCATAAATAAGTCGGTACAATCGTCACCTTACTGAATCAATTTTATAGGATTTGTCTTCACAATGGTACAATAGTAATTAGATGTCTCGATTTTACAAAAGTGTTGCACTTATGGTTTTGTTGAATAATTATGTTAAAGAGTTGGACAAGAAACAATGTGATAATATTTTTTATAGCGATAATCAGAGTGTTATTCATCTTGTAAATAATTTTTTTTTTTGTACGAACAAAACACATTTATTTGAAGAATCATTTCATTAGAGAACTAATAAGTGATGTTACTCTATTTTTTTAGAAGATCATTAGATCAAAGAAGTTAAAATTTTAGAGATATATTGACTAAGGTGGTTACTATTGAGAAATTAAAATTTTGTATAACTTCAATTTATCTTCATGATTAATTATTAAGAGAGTATTATACTAGTTTCATAATGTTATAAGTTATATATTATTAAGTAGAGTTATTATGGATCTGAGTAAAATTTACAACTTTAAATGAAACATTAATCATCTTATTAAATCAATACTAATAATTTATAAACAAAACGTATTTTATACTTTTATAAATTAACACAAGCATGTTCTTAATTATATTCATTATCATGTTAGTTCAAATCACCTTATTTTCACTTAATTTGTATTAAAAAAATTGGATTACATTTTAGCACAATCGAATTACTTACTTTTATTTGAAAAGGAGATGGATGACTTTTTGTGATGTATTAAGAGTTTACATGATATTAAAAAAATGAATAAATGTATAAAGAAATGGAAGGTGATAATGAGTAAATATATATTTTTAATTAAGGTGATATTATATGACAATCAATTATAAATATACTTTTTATTATTATAATAATTATAATAAAAGTTAAAAAATAATGTTAATATTAATAAATGATAATATTAAAAAATCATCTTTTCCTTTTTATTTATTTATTTATTTCCTCTATTTCCTTATTCTCTACCAAATGAACTATCATACAAAAGAACCCAATTACACTCTAATTTGTGTTGTGTTGGAAGGTTTATTTTAAAGTCTTTGCTTGTAAGTGAAAAATTGATGTGAAGTGAAGGAAACCTCAAGTGAATACTTCAAGATGGAACACATGCATTACTAAACCTAATCAATTATATTCACACTCACTCACTCTCTATTATATATTGATATCTCATTTTCATATTATTATCATTTCGTTTGTATTTCTTATTTTCATTTAGTAATAACATCATGAAAATAATGTGAGAGAATTGAAAATGAATATATTGTTATATATTGCAAGGAAATAGTTACATTTTCTTGGATATGATTTTACAGTATCTAAACACCATAGATATAAACTAATTCAGTAGCTACCAACCCTAAACTAATATAGGTGAATCTCAATTTTAAATGACACATATTTTAATGCATTTATTTATATCATTTAGCCTATCTTGTACATATTTTTTACATTAGATAAAAATAATATATACATTTTCTTGTAACTTGATGCTCATTTTCTCTTATAAAACCTTCATTAAAGTAAGTATTAAAGTCAGTGACTGTGAGATGTTTATTCTGTCTGCATATGTTGTACTTTCTTTATTATTATTACCATCATTATTATTATTATTATGGGTTGAAACAATTATTTAACAGTCTCCAATAATTAATAGTATTGACAAACCAAAGTGTCCAACACAACAAATGACATTTTATACTGCTTGGTACAGTCACTTTCACTCAAGACCATCACTTTTTTCTTTTTTTTTTCATAATCTTTAAAAGTTCTTTCTTTTTGTTTACTTTCATCTGTCCTTTTGTTAAAAAGCAAACGTTGAAAAGTACTAAATTCTTACAAAACATAATTTTTAACCTGTCATGTTTTCTTTTTCGGTTAAATAAAGACATCAACCTATCCTGTGATGTTATTGAAAACCTATCCGCTTTCTCGTGGAGATTAGATCTGTGAATTGATGTTTTTATAGTCAATATAAATGTTCACTTATTCAACTGTTTCTTCTCTTTGATTTCATTTTTATTCAACTGTTTCTTCTCTTTGATTTCATTTCAATTAAACACTAGTAGTTCTGTTTTTACACAATTTTAATTGAATAGTTCTTAAAACTACCACTACAACATTCAACCAAATTAGAAAGGGTTAAACATGACAAACATAATGCTGAATATAGCACAAATAAAATTAATAATCAAACCATATCATTTTTTCTATTTAATTTTTATATAATGGCAATGTAAAAAACTTGATCCATTAATTAATTAAAAATTATAATACTTACAACCATTTGTAATTAAAGAAAGTGTACAAAAAAATTAGAATGAAAATAAAGTTATCATTATTTCTGTTCGCAAATCATAATATTCATTTTCCAAAATTATGTGGTTAGCTTGGTGGATTTGCAATTTAAATCATGACACAAAGATTAGAACTTGAAACATGAAACTGTTGGTGATGTTTGAAATGAATGTGTCTTGTTATGGCAATGGATAACTGATGGTATTTCACTCAAGTGACACTTTTTTTCTATATCCATTGGTGGACATTGAAGTTTGAAGGAAGAAGTATATGCAAAAATTGAAATAAAAAAATAAAATAAAATAAAAATAAGATGAATCGAAATAAACGAACAAAAATTGAAAGCTCGGAACCAGGTAGACCAGCTGTGTCTGTCGGCGAATAACCAAGCACACCCATAAGCACCCTCTCTCTCCCTCTCTCTTCAAACTCTTGAATTCAATTTGTGACAGTTAGAGAGAGAGTGTGTGAGTTTGTCTTCAAAGTATTTTAATTCAGTTGTGACATAGTTAGAGAGAGATTGTGTGTGTGTTTGTGTTGTACTTTGTTTTTTCCTTAAACTTGGGAACAAAGGTTGAGACTTCCAATAATCTTCTTTTCAAATTCTGTGAAAACTGTCATGGGTATGATATTATTGCTAGTTGGTGTTGTTGTCATGGAACTAATGAGGATCAATGGAATGAGGGTATAGCAGAGTGTAGAGAAGGATGAGAAGAAACCCACGCGGTGTATGGGTTGCATATGGTTCTAATCTATTGAGGAGGCAATGTAGAGAAAGGTTATCGCAACGCTGGGTTAAGAAGAACTGTGGCTAGGACTATATGAGTATTTGAGGCTTTGGAAATGGTTTCATGTGGGAATTGGGGAATGGTGTCCGTGTGAAATTGGTTGCTAGTTATTGGTTTTTGTTGGTTTTCTTATTTATATTTGTGTTATTTTGGGGTTTGAGGAATTGAGTGTTGTTGGATCGAGAGCAATGGAGTCTCGGATGGATCAGTATGAGATCATGGAGCAGATCGGTCGAGGAGCATTTGGAGCTGCTATTCTTGTTCACCACAAGGCTGAGAAGAAGAAGTAATAGTTACAACTTTAGCACTTCATTGATGGGGTTATGTCTATTTGTTTTTGAGAAATTGATGGGTATTTGGTAGGTTCATAATAATTTCTATGACTAAAGGTTCATTTTATTGGGTTGTAGATATGTGTTAAAAAAAATCAGGCTAGCAAGACAGACTGAACGATGCAGAAGATCTGCTCATCAAGAAGTGAGTTTGGTTTTGTGTGTGTTTTCCCTACTTGTTGATGTGCTTCATAGTTCATATACCTGGAATCTGTTTTTTTTTTTTTTTTTCATTTTTTATGGAAAAGATTTGACTGTTGTTGCTTGTTGAGAATTGTAGATGGCTCTTATTGCTCGAATCCAGCATCCATACATTGTGGAATTCAAGGAGGCATGGGTTGAGAAGGTGAGAGACCCTTCAAGTCTTTGTGTAATGTAATCAGTCTTAATTTCTTTCAGCTAATTGTTAAGAGTTACAGTATTGCACTCTGTTATAAACTGGACGTGTGAGGATTTTGACTGCTTACTTTTACGCTAAGCACATTCTACTTCTGTTGCAGGGTTGCTATGTCTGCATTGTCACCGGATATTGTGAAGGTGGAGACATGTGAGTATATGATAATACCCATGCTCAATCTCTTACATTTTATTATACTTGTTCTCTCCAATTATTTGATAGTTTATGCTTATTTCTCGTCAAATATGTGACAGGGCTGAATTGATGAAAAAATTAAATGGTGCTTACTTTCCTGAGGAGGTATTCTTTTCTCACAGTTGCCTGTGTTTTTTTGTGTATTCTTTTCCCGTGGCTTACATTCTAGATGTTGTTGAAATTGCTCAGAAACTCTGCAAATGGTTCACTCAATTACTGTTGGCAGTAGAATACCTGCACTCCAATTTTGTTTTGCATCGTGACCTAAAGGTATAATTACATGAAGCAAACCATAGGTCTATGATTATTGTCTTTGATTTAAATGTATTAAGTGTGATTTTGTTAACTCTGCCGACAGTGTTCCAACATTTTTCTTACAAAGGATCAGGATGTTCGCCTAGGTGAGTTAACATACCATCTTTGATTATATTGGAGATGGAATTTAATTCCTCGCCTGAATTTCTGTTATTTTCCTGACATGTAGGGGACTTTGGTCTTGCTAAGACACTAAAAGCAGATGATTTGGCTTCCTCTGTATGTGTAAAATTATGTTGCTTTCTTCTCTTTCTTCTTTCAATCCAAATTATTTGCTTAAAAAGATCTAAGGATTCATGCTAAACGTTTTTCTATTAAGTTTCCCTAGCACTGATGCATTCTACCGAATTACAGCTTTAGATTTTCTCATATTTAGTTATTTCCAGGTCTTTTGTGCTCACATAGAGAAATACTAAGAAGACATCAATTTTATTTCACACACTGTCATAGATAGTTTTTTTCTGGACATATGCTTAATTTGTTTCCTTTATGTGTTTGTGAGAACCAGAGGCTTCAGTGTTGTACTGAGTTTTTCCTCTATTGGCCAAGCCAAGGACTAGCAATACGATCTCTCAACTATGAGTAGTTAAAATTATCCCACTGTTAAATTTATTTCTACAAAAAAGTGGGACAATATTGTATCAATATTTGCTTCATGCAAAGCATACATTTTCACTCCCATACCCTTCCCATTCTAGTTTAACAAGCCTTTTTTATATTGGCTGGCTCCTTTATACACTATATTTTGAGATTAAAAAAAAATAAAAGAGGGGAAATAGAAATTGAGTGTCGTTCGTTTGGGAAAATTGAATTAGCTTGCTTGTAATGTGATAGATAAGACCAAGAGTTATTGCTCTTGTAACATTTTTTCCAGAATTTGGGCTGATTTAGCTGGAAGATCATGCTGTTGTAAACTTGTTTATAGTTTCTCTTCTTTTGTGTGGACAAATTTATATTTTAATGATGTTTAACTTCTAGAGGTTTAATTATGACAGTCTAGTAATAACTTAATCTATATGGTTAGCATTACATTTATATACAAATTCATAGTCACCACATATGGAATTAATGGTTGCTGTAAATGTTTCTATGCAGGTGGTAGGGACTCCTAATTACATGTGTCCTGAACTGCTTGCTGATATACCGTATGGATTCAAATCTGATATTTGGTCACTAGGTATGCATATTATAACCAAGTATCTAATACTTGCACATTCGGTTTTGCTGGAGCTAAAATACATTCTTCTTGTCCAGGGTGTTGTATATATGAGATGGCTGCTCATCGCCCTGCTTTTAAAGCTTTTGTAAGATTTCTTCTGATTTTTTTACTTCATGTTAGATATAGGTAGGATGTAATCTTTAGTGAATTCATTTAATTCAATACACTCATGTCAGATATGAACATAATATCTCATTTATGCATTAGCAAAGTTACTTTTTGCATTACAGGAACGATAAAGTAGCAGTTTGCACAAATGATCTAGAAATGATAAAACAGTATAAAAGTGGATTTCCAAGTAAAATTTTACGACAGTTTGCAAGGCTACCACCTACCAGATCACCACTGTGGTCTATATTTTAGTGTTGTTATCCCCCATGTATGTGCCAGTGTTCTAAATTTAAGCTTGTTTTGTAAACTTTTTTTAATGCTGTTTGTTAAGTGGAATAGTACTAATCAACATATAGTTTCCTAATATTTTTCTTGAACCTTATTAACTAGAGTTGCTGGGTGATGATTGCTTGTCAGGGGAATATGTTTCATGTGATTCCCACTACATATATATGTTTTATGTATTTGGAGGCTCTCATCATGGTTTATTTCTTGGGTTTTAACAAGGGCATGGTAAACCACGTTTCAGGATATGGCAGGGTTGATAAGCAAGATTAACCGTTCTTCCATTGGCCCTTTGCCTCCATGTTATTCCCCTTCCTTGTAAGCTTCTATCTGCTTGTGTTAAGATTAATATTCTTTTGTCGCTACCCTTTCTGATGAAGTCAGGTTTACGACAGATACAGTTTCTACTTGCTAGTATGCACGCATTTGTCTTGTTGGTGCTTTTAATTGTGCAACTCCAACTTTGTTTATTCTCTTGAGCCATGAATTCCTTTGGTTTTTTGTAATCTTAGTTGAATATGAACTGTAAGTTTGCCAGAGCCACTCAAAATAAATAGGAAAAAATAACATTGCTTGTGAAATCAGGCATTGTAAGTTGTTTCTACTATTCATGTAAAAAAGACCCAATAGGTCAATGTTTGTGAAATCTGAAGGATTGCATTGGAATTAGGGAAAGTTTAAAGCTAACTAATAGATGAGAGAGAGATTTGTTTACTTACCAGTTCTTATTTTTCTCTCTGCTAAGCGTCTATGTTGTTGACTATTATTACCTCAGGAAAACACTGATAAAGGGTATGCTAAGAAAAAATCCTGAGCATCGGCCAACAGTAAGCCTCTCTTGAGAATAAATTTATTTCCAAAGTGGAAATCGTTTCTATCATTGATTTTCCTAAATATTCTCACTTCATATTTGCACAGGCATCTGAGGTGTTAAAGCACCCTTATTTACAGCCTTACGTAGATCAATACCGTCCAGCTTTCAGTCCTCCAACAACCTGTTCTCCTGAAAAGCCAATTTCTACTGTCAATTATCCTCGGAAAAATATGGCTGAAAGTCAAAACAGTAGTAGTTCCAACAGCGACAAAGACAGTTTGATGTCAAATGAGAAAAACATTGCAACAGCAATACCGAAGTGTGATAACAAAACCACTGAGATGGATCAAACATCAATTGATGATGATGGTTCAGAGGAAGAAAGTGGCTCTAGTAATGCCAACGGCAATACCAAAATAGCTGAGCAAATGGTGATGAAACCATCTCATAATGCACACCATTCTCATGTTGAATCTAAGCAGCCAAAAACAATTAGAAATATAATGATGGCATTGAAAGAAGGAAAGGTGAGAGAAGCAACTTCTCCAATGAGAGGCAATCGCATAAAGCCTGCTGGTGTATCAACACAGAAAATAAGTACCGAGACATTGTCTAAATTGCCTAAGCCTAATTTTCTTGCCCCTAGTGTCAAGCCTAACTTAGAATCACCTACTGTAGCACTTTCACGAGCAACCCCTGACTCAGCAAAAAGAATGCAGGGGTCACATCATTCAAAGCAACAGGTATAGCATCATTTTTTAATTACCCATGTTATCAACTCTTTCTAAAGATTTCCTCATGACACTAAGATTTATTTCTTGTATTTTATTACTATATGCTGGCAGTTTCTGATGATAGAAGCCTCACCGAAACTTAAAGCTAGACATGATTTGACTCCACCACCTGCGGTTGTCAAACAAGTAGATGGAGATGTTGTTCCTCCCAAGCCAAGACAAAGGACTCCCCCAAGCTTACTTAGAAGACCTTCATTTTCTGGAAGACTGAGGCTGGCTGGAATTGATGTTCCAAATGCAGCAAGTGATACTGGAAAGCTAGGTACAGATAAAATAGTCCAGGAACCTGAGATGAGCCCTTGTCAGTTGGCCAACGACAATGTACCAAATATTTCAAAACACGTTACTAGAGAGCCCCAGAAGGCTTTTGAAAGAAGTTCCAAAGGAATGCAAATAGACAGCAGCAATTCTGCTTCATCTTCAGTTTCTATCCAAGGAGGTGAACTTGCTGATGATGCTACAACTTTTATTGACATGAGAGAACAGATGCTTCCTGGACATGAGAATATAAGCCACATTGTACGTGTGGAATCATGTCCTGACAGCAGCCTGCCGACAACTTGTGCACATTGTAAGATGGTTGAAAAAGTTCCTAACGATTCCTGTGAGGTTGCCATAAATTTTCAGAATACTGTAAGTAGTAACGAGAAAGTGAGTTCCAGTTTAAGTCAAGATCATCATGTTGAAGATTCTAAGGAAACACTTGCTTCAGAAGGCGGTCTTCTTGTATACCAGACAACCATGTCTACTACATCCGGCTGTGATAATAGATCTGTAGACCCCTCTGCTGGAGCCACCAAAGAAATTAAAGATTTTCAAGATATTACCAAGGAAATGCCTTTGGCCAAGTCTCCCAAACATGTACCCCCAAGTTCTGGAGAAAAGTCTGTTCATGTTGAAGCTACTCCAGAAAGTGAACCTGATCTACTTATCCAGCCAACACTTGGATGTAAGTCCCCTGGTGATGACAAATTCACAGTGAGGGAACGACTGTCACCTATGGTGGAAACTATTCCTCTGGTTACCCCTACAAAATTATCAAGCCAGAACGTTTTGCAAGAGAAAGGAACTGTGCTGCAGAATCCAGCACCGGAGAGGCCTGATACTGGCCATCTTCCTCCCGCCTTCGATGATGTTATCCATGTCATACGCCATAGTAGTTACCGCGTTGGAAGTGATCAGCCAGTAAAGGAATCTGTGGAGATGGGAGTTCAAAATGTAGATGTTGGTAAGTTTATCAATGTTGTGAGGGATGATTTAGAAATGATGAACATAACCTCACCTTTGACCCTCAAATCTTCAAGCTGCTCTGATGTTACAAGCTTGAATTCTGAACAGTTGGAAATGAAGAGCTTAAACACTCCTCCCATCCTTAAATCTTCAAGTTTCTCCGATTCTTCCAGCATGAAATCTAGCAACTCTGATCATCCTGGTCTTAAGGAACAAGATGTGGTTAACCCTCCTCCTTTAGTTTCAGAACCTGAATCTACTGAGCTCAGTAAAAGTAACAGTCCCATGAATGACGAGAAACTACCAGCAAAGGAACCATTGGATGTGAAATCTTTCAGGCAGAGAGCAGAGGCACTCGAAGAGCTCTTGGAGTTGTCTGCAGATTTGCTGCAGCAGAACAGATTGGAGGAACTTCAAGTGGTTCTGAAGCCCTTTGGGAAAGATAAGGTCTCCCCAAGGGAGACAGCCATTTGGTTAGCCAAGAGTCTCAAAGGAATGATGTCTGAGGAGAGTGGGGGACGCTCTTCATAAGGTAGCTGAATTAGACAATTCTTGTGTGGTAAAATTCACCTGTATTTTATGTTTAAAAATTGCTCTTTAAGTGATAGCTCCATAAGAGAACAAATTGTCATTGTCCCTTCTTTCATTATTGTAATTCTTTCAGTGCTTTTATGCTGTTGTAAATAGTGACCATACGAATTAATAACATCAACTTACTATTAAACTGTAAGGACATATTGTGCCCCGGCATAGTTGTTACACATTAATGTGCCGACTTTCTATGATTAAATGGAGCTGAGCCAAAAACAGAAAAAATATCTACCCAATCAACCACGAGCAGAAAGCTTATATGTTTTTGTCAATACTAAAGTTTTCAACCAAGACGATGAAGACTCTTCATATTATATGGTAGAGACAAATTGGATGCCATTGGCAACAACCAACATTAGTTTTCGTGTAGTACCCTCATTTCCGCGTGGTTTCCTATAAGCATGATGGAATCTTCCTAGAAGGAAACGTCGCATAAGAAGACCTACGCGTTTTGCTACAGTTTAAATATGTGGGTTTTTATGTGTTTCTTCATTCTTCATATTGGTTTTCTTCTCTTTCATGACTTCACCAGCTTCTCCTTCATTAACAACTGCACCAAGCCAAAATTGCACCTACCTACTTGCTATCATCATGATAAGACAAACCCTTCTTCCAAAATCCAAACCGAACCACTGATACAAAATCAATTTATATATATAGTTGTATCAGTTATCTCGAGTTCAAATCTTGATATATACAACTTTAAATTCTGAGAATGATAGACTCGCTATCCATAGTGATCCTACTTGAATTGATCAGGTTTAAAGTCCCGTAAAGAATATTTGTGTCTTTTAACCAAAAAACATCCAACCCAATGGTTCCAACCAACAGCAACACGACAAGGTGCCATGACAACCGCTTTTACCGCAACCTAATACTTGCGTTGGTTACCATCTTTGTTTTATTGATGGCTGTTATCAGCATAGCATGGCTTTTCATGCACCCACATGACCCTGGTTTTGAGGTGACGTCCCTTTCTGTGACCCACTTCAACGTCTCAGAATCCCACGTACAAGGAAGGTACAAGATCGGACTAACCATAACAAACCCAAACAAGATCAAAACCCAAGTGGTGCTTCACCGTCTCATCTGCTTGAAGCTTTACGGTCAGAAGTGGCGCTCGGTGGCTGCAGTGCAACAACGCGTGTCATTGGAGAAGTTGACCAACAAGAGTGTGAAGGTTGACTTTGAATTGAGGAAGGAACCCTTAAAGGTGGCACCTCAGGTTCTGGTTAAGGACTTGAACAAAGGGGTGGTGCACTTAAACGTGGTGTTGAGCGCTAAGGTTAGATTCCAAGCTGGAATATGGCCAAGCATGGATAAGATATTGGATGTTAAGTGTGGGGATCTGGATGTGGAGTTCCACTCTCAAACAAAAGACACTGGCAGGCTTTTGAGTATTGGGAAGAACTGCGACACACAGAATACTGGAGGGACATGAATAGGAAGAAGAAGAAGAAGAAGAAGAAGAAGAAGAAGAAAGGAATAAGATTTAACCATGTTATCAAATCATTAGTTTATCCGATGTGATGATGAGATAAATTCTGGTTGAATTACATTGTATATAAATTAAACTCTTCTCTTAAACTTTTGCTTTTTGGTTTATAGAAAAATAGTAGTATTAACCAACATGGATGAATTGTGACGGTACTGGTCGCATGGATCTGAGACTGCAAATATACCCCAAGCCAGTTTGAAGAAAGAAGAACGTGGTGACCACAGATGTCTCCATTTATGTTTCTATCTATTATTGGTTTTCAACATGGATACTTCAATTTCACCCAATGAGATTTTGCGATTATTTTAAGAATAGAAATAAATATTTTATTATAATTTTTATATATAAATTGTTTAAAAATTAATAGTTATTTATATAAATAATTGTTTTTAATTTTAATTAAATTTTTCTAATTTCAAACAATTTATGAGATAATAAAACATTTATTTTTATTTCTAAACAAAATTACTATCAACTTCCGATATAAATGCTTTGACTGGTACTTTTCATTATATATGAATTTTCTTTCTTAATCTGTGTTTTGGTTTGATGAAATTGAAAGTTCTCTGTTTTTGCTTAGTAGCAATAGCATAAAATTTGTTTGTTAAATTGTAATATATTGATCTTTGAAGCTAAATAGCTAGAATGCAAGTTCTTTTGGGAAAACAATTTTTTTTTCAAAGTTAATACTTTAATGTCTCATTGAAAATTCATCTTACTTTTTTTTTCATCTTTTTTTTTTCTGATCTAGCACTGTGTTATTTTTTATTTTCACAGTGGGAAACCGAATCCTCACTTTCAATTGGTTTCAATTTTATTAGAATACTAGTCGGAACCAACTTGTTATAATTTTTAAAAAAATAGGAAAGGAAAAAATTAGAAAAATAAAAAAAATTATAAGAATAATATTTTATAATTATAATTATTTTATCTAAATTTAAATTTGATAAATGTATATTTATTTAGTAATAATAATTTATTTATTTATTTGGAATAAAAAGTTATAAAAATAAATAAATAAATAAAAATATGATATATGAGAAATTTATTTGAAGTGAAGTTTAAATTTGGGGTGGTTTAATGTAAAATTAAAATTTAGATTGAGAAATAACATTTTATTTATTAATAAAATTTTATTTAAAAATAAGTAAGTAGTGGAAAATTAGTAAAGTAAAAATAAAAATAAAGAATAGGATAACACATTATACGAATAAAATTTAAAAATGGTGATAGTTTAATGTAAAATTAAAATTGAGAAATATATTGTATGTAATAACAGTAATTTATTTAAAAATAAGTTAGGAGAAAAAAATAAAAAATAACAATAAAAAAACTATTTAAATAAAAAATTAAATTTATGATTATATAATGTAAAAATCAAATTAAGAAATATATTGTTATTTAGTAATAATATTTTATTTAAAAATAAAACATTATTATTTTGGATAGTTAATAATTTAAAAAGTAAATAAAATAATTTTCTAAGTTTCTTAAATTGTTGTAAAATGATAATATGATTAGCTATAATTTTATCAATGAGATATTTAAACGAATTTCATGAATTTTATTGTATTTAATTATTTAAATTTGATGAGAAATTTTGTTGTATTTAATTATATATATATATATATATATATATTAATGATGTAATATAATAAAATTTAAAAAGAAATAAAATAGGAGTACATATAATATTTGTATTAATAATTATTATACTTAATTTTAATATAATATAAAATAAAATTGGTATAAATATTTTATTAAAATTGTAGATATTTAAATTGATGATAGAAAATATAAAAATATTATAGATTAAATATGCATAATTGAAACAATACATGTTAATTTAAAACTTAACTGAATTGGAAATAATATATGATAAAAAGTAATTAAAAATAATTATCTTATAACTTGCAAGCTAAATGTGGTTCTTGTTATCCCATATTTATCAATGTATTTATTATATTCTAAATTACTAATCATCTTAAAGTTGATCTTCGTATAAATTTCTTTGAACAAACAATTCAATCTTTCTTCGTATTTGTTCATGTTGCACACTTAGTCGTAGAGTTTGTATTCTTTTGTCCAACGGATGATCATTTGGGTTATACTAGTGTCAATTGAATTGTGAATGATTTTTTAGTTTTTTAGTCAAACTAACCGTCAATAGTTTATTTCAATTACTTGTTTGTAGTATCTATAGTCAGGTATGTCAATCATCTTTTCAAATAACTTAGCAAAAGATAAAGTGTGTTGGATTATCATTATTCTAAAATTACAACATGTATAAGTAAGATCAAAACCATTTGAATTTTTCTTAATAATTGTACGTTGGACAACACCACTAAAATAAATTATAGTTTTAGAGGAAGAGATGTTGTTTTTGTTTATGAAAGAAGTAGAAGCACGTGGATTTAGAATTATCATTATTTCATTAATTGATATAATATATTTAACATATAATTCAATAATGGTATCGAAAGGAAATTATGATTTCTAAGTAATCATATTAGATACATCAATATCATATAATATTTCAACAACATCATATATAATTGAACCATTAGTTTTGGTTGATGGTAAAACAACCTATTGATTGAGATGTGTCGAAAAATCTCTAAAGAAATACATATTCTTTTCTTCAAAGTGATAAATGTAAAATTGTATGAATTTCGAAAAAGATTAGGAGATGCAAATTGAAAATATACCCTTTTTTATTTACTGTGATTTGACTATTTGCAAACATTGTTACAAAATAAAAGTTATCAAAATTTTCATGTCGAACAAATAAGTTATAGTATATTGGGTAGAGGAAAATGCCCTCATAATAAAGTTGTCTACTTTGTATTGAGAGGTGAACCTAAAGTAACCTAATGGTGACTTGACTTTAGCCTTAAGCAATGTGGATTAAATGTCTATGTAAAGAAATGTGTTCATTAATGTGGTAGAGTGGATATAAAAGCTCAAGGTAGGTTTGGTTAGTTAAAATAAAAATAATTTATTTATTTTTAGTGGAGTTAAGATTTGAACCTAAAAGTGTTAGTTCAATATTGAATAAGTTTTACCATTTACAAAAAATTGAGTTTACTTATAATTCTTTTGGTTTTCTTTTCCTTTTATTATAAATAAAGTCATACTCAAGAAAATCCTAAATTTTTGTATATATGATTGTTGAATTGAGAAAAGAGGCAAACGATTATTTTTGTCAAAGTGAGAATATTTCTTTAACAGGGTTTTTCCTTACATCTTCGATCTTATCAAGAATTCACTAATTCTTGTGACGATTATCCTTAGGCTTATCAAACTTTGTTGTCTTCCTTTATTTAGGTTTTCTTTGTTTTGTTCTCAATTCTTAATTTTTTGTTCTTAATTGATTCTAAACCTTAAATCTTTTTGTGTCAATACTATTTGGAATCTTATCATGTGTGCCTTGTTGACTAGTTTGTTAAAATTTGTTTATATGTGTGCCTTCATCATTTGTTGATATTAAAGTTGATTATATGTTATAAAAAAATTGTGACCATAGTTATTTAATTATTAACATTAAATAATTAGATAAAAATTTAATGTTAGTTTTTTTTCTTATTTTTGAATTAAGTTATAAAGTTATATCATTGAAAAAAATATTTATTAAAAAATTATTTATAAATGACTTGTGTTTAATTTATTAAGCAAATTTGGTGAGTTAAGTTATATTTTTTACAAACAATTTTGAACTAGTTTATGTAAAAGTCACCAATATCATAAGGAGGACATCATTTATAATATTTTGGACTTTTTCTTGATTTTTATTCTTGAGGTAATCCTTCTTGTGACATTTATTCTTTGAGGGTTTCGACAACGTAATGTGAAAGGAAGGCAGAGAGACTACTTCAATTATTATCATAATATAGCGGGTACATTGATTCCATATAAGTACGAGCAGATGATGATGTTCTAAGATTTGCTCCGAAAAAATTTCATACACACTTACTTGGACTAGATGCAAAAGAATATCGTCTAGCATCCATTGTCGATTGTGGTTAAGGTGCCCTATAGATAGTACTTGTGAAGGATTAGTGTAAAGGCATCTAAAATGATAGAATAATGGATTACTCAATCTTAAATGTGTGTAACCTGACTTCATCCACTTTATTGTTTTCTTGGATCTTAAAGTAATTATGACCCGGATAACGAATAAATAAAATTAATATTGTATCATTCTATATATTTTCTTATGTAATGCAAAGATTCTTATATCAGTAGACCTATTAGTATAAGTTATTTTTTTTCATATATTGATTTATTCGACATAAATATTTTTTAAGTTTATTGTAATTTATGGGTATTTGTTATTTTTTTTTCATATATTGATTTATTCGACATAAATATTTTTTAAGTTTATTGTAGTTTATGGGTATTTGTGGGATGTTTGTTTGATGTTTTAATCATATTATAAGTGTTTCATTTGTTAAAAGTCAATATGTTTTAATGTACAATTGATGTTTCAATGAATGTTACGAAAGTTGTTCACAAAGGATTATCTTATAATTTTTTTTACTATTTTAAATTAAACTTTCATTCTTTTAATAACAAAATTTTAACTCAAAGTTATTATTATTTTATTGATTATCTTAAAAATAAGGGCCTTAGATGAAAATTCTAAAAGAATTATCATTGGAACTGATAAAACCCTTAAAAACATCAAAATATAACTTTAAATATATTATTTTATGATTTTTGAACTACTTTAAATAAAAATTTCTTTTATTTAATAACAAATCTTAACCTCTAAATTGTTATCATTACATTCATTTAAATATAAATAATATTTTCAATATATAAATATATATATTATATTTAACATTATTTAACATCAATTACATGTAACCAACATAAATTTAAACTTTACTTGAAATAATTTTTCATATATCATCTTATTATTTATTTATATTTTTTCTCTT